GGGCCGCGGCGCACCTTTACCGATGGGTGCGCGCAGAGGCGTCTGTGAGCAGCCGCGTTCCCGCACCCGCGCGGCGTTGTACAGGCAGCTGAGCGCAAAGCTGTGGCCGGCGTGTGCACAAGGTTAGGTAACTCGTGGTTTAAAACAGGCTCCGTTTTCTGCTCTTTTGCCAGAGCAAGACTTTTTGTTTAAAATGGAGATTTTCCTTGAAAAATCATTTTTTAAACTGTATTTAAATAGTGATGGAAATTTCAGTTTTTCTCCACAGGTGCCTACTTCCTTGTAAGAGGGTAACTTTTTGTTTTGCTTTCCCCCCTAGTCTTGAACTTCAAGAGTTAGAAAAAAAGCTGAAATCCGCTTATGTGACTAAAGAGCGAGCTGCGCAGATTGCTGAGAAAGAAGCTGTCCAGCGTGAGGAAATGGTAACGGCCTTCGCCACGCACCCCAGCACCCGCGCACTGTGACTCTGAATGGGTTGGGCTGAAAATTCGTCCCTTGAAGGTGGCTTTTTCATCCAAAGTACTGCTAGGTTTAGGCTTTCAGTCTGTATTGAAAATATGTTTTGTGTTATGGAGGACTAATTAGCCGGTAATAACCAGCCATAAGAAGGGTGCTTACTTTGCCAGTGCAATCAAAGCAGCAGTGAATTAAGCTGTATGAATGGATACAGCTTTTATTTTACTGGTTTTGTAATATTTATCTAACTTGAAGCTATGATAGGCTTTGTACAGTGAGTGCTTACTGTGGCGAGTCCTTACCTTAGAAGCAGATTGTTGAAAAAGTTGTTACTATTACTAAACATGTATCTGAATAACTTCAGGAAGAATTGTGAACTTTTTACTTATGCGTAGAATAATACTGGTGATCAGGCAGATGATTCTGATCATGTTCACATTTTGTACAAAATTCAGTTTACACAAATTGCGGCAAAGACAGTGCATTTAGTGAGGCAGTTCTCCATGGTTAAATTTCAGTCATTACGCTGACGCGAGCTGGTTTCACTCATGCCGAACGCGCTGCTGTGTCTTCCTTCAATGCGTGGCCTCCTTGAAGTGTTGTTAGTTCTCCTCAAGTTGTTTAGATGTTGAGCGTTCTCCTTGAGGCTTCTACTTACTGAATTAAGCTATTAAGCATGTTAAGGCACTGCATTTGTAGATTGATGTAGGAAACATTCCATTTTTGTAATGCGGTATAATTCCTCCTTCCGCTGTGTGATTTTTCACTACAAGTTGTATTTGGGGGAGTAAAAAAGGAATCTTGCATTGCTTTTTCCCCCTATAGAAACGTGAGGCTGAAATAGCCCAACAGATGAAGGAAGAGTATGAAAGGGTAATAAAAGAAGAAAGTTCTGCAGAACTGAGGCGGAACAAGGAGAAAATAATGTATCAGCAAGAACTGGAGAAACAGCTTGAGGAACGAGAGAGGAAGAAGAAGGATGCTTACGCAGAGTTTCTGAGAGAGAAAGTCATGATTGATGAAATTGTAAGAAAGATCTATGAGGAGGACCAAATGTTAGTTACTTTGAATTTTTATTAATTTAAAACAAAACAACTCACGTAATTCTGTATAGGAAACTAATTTGCATATATTTGTTTCGTAGACTAAGGCCCGTTTTAGTTTTCAGTGGTCATATTTTACTAACAAGAGACTGACTTGCATGGATTTTGCTGTGTAAACATCAAAATGTTCTTGTTGTTCCAGTCGATCTCGCGTCCTTGTTCCCCAAATATGCAATCCAGCTTGTTCCCAGGAGTGCCTCTGTTGGGCCCATCATGCTGGGAGTGACTGCATATTGCAGATTTCTGCCTCGCCTCATGCTCCCGCCTCTTCATGGGACATGTTGTGTGCCTGTCTTATGGACTGGGACAGGAAAGGAGGTTTCTGAGGGCGCGGGGCAGAACAGTTTAGTATAAATAATGTTTAGGAAATTCTGGTGCCATCGGGCTTCCCTCTCCGCTCCTCTCTGTTTTGATGGAGTGTGTGTAAAATGGAGTAATAGTGAGTACCTGTGCATACAGTCTGTCCCCCTCAAGGAAGGTGTTAGACATGAGGTACCCTTTTTGGGGCAATTCGTCAATAAGTATTTTCAATTTAGGTATCTCGTTTCCAGCTGAATGGGTAAGGAGAGTCGTTGAAATCTTAGTCTCTGGAATATATTGTTAATGATGAGCATATGGTCCGTTTAGTGGTACTCTGCAGTACGTTAAAACACGATTTAAACTTTTTTTTCCATTTTCTACAGGGAAAAACAACTGAAGTTAGATAAAATGAGAGCAACTCAGACGTATATTGAAGAATTTAAGAAAGAACAAGCTATCTGGAAGAGAGAGAAACAGGAAGAGATGGAAGAAGAAAACAGGAAAATTATGGAGTTTGCCAACATTCAGCAACAAAGAGAAGAAGACTGGATGGCTAAAGTTCAAGATGCTGAGGAGAAAAAACAAAGACTTCAAAGCATGGTATAAAAAATAGAAATTGTAGAAAAAATTATTGTATTATTACTTATTGTACGTTCTTGTCTTTCATTTAGAAATCTTTCCTTCTTGTAATAGATTGTCCAAAATCTGGAAAGAGAACAACAGAAGTGTGAAGAACTGGAACAAATCCGCCAAGAGCTGTATCTGGAGGAACACGCGGAGACGGAAAGGAAGAAGGAGATGGTAAGCGCTGGCAGGTAGATGAAGCAGCACCTGCGTGTTGGGGTGGGCGGGGAATATTTCACTTTCCCTGGACTTCTCCTGCAGGTACATGCATGGATATTTTGGTACTGGTCAGATACCAGGGTTTTTATGTCATCTGCATGTTTGTGTCGTATGTGTGTTATGTGAACCTGTGCATAAACTGTTCAGGGAGAATGCAAGTGGAGAGGAGCACTGCAACTTTGCCATAATTCCTGCCAAACATTCAGGCTAGCAGAGCTGGTGTGGATGAAACTTCTGTAAAGTAGAAATAGTAGCGTATCTGCAGGAAAACATGTAATTGATGGAGCCCTTGTAGCTATTGGTAGACCAATCTAATTTAAGCAGACCAGATAGGAAAATTTAAAGAGAAAGTTAAACCATTTTGAATCGCTGACCCAGAAAATAAGTAATAAAGTGAATGCAGGGGACATTGTTTGACATAGTCTTCCTCTGTCCCTTCGCTTCTCCTGATGTGTGTTTGATGGGGCAGCGTGCCTCCAAGTCTTCGGATATTGGCGCTGGGGTTATGGTGCTGAGAGAACATTTAGTGACCGTGTATCCCGCGTGCGATTCCTTCTGCATCCGCAGGCGCTCTTCAGGGGCCAAGTAACCCCCGCAGCCACAACTTTCCCTCTTGTCAGTGCTGGCAGGGTGCTCGTGGGCTGGGCTGGGTTGGGGGTTTTGTCACACTTTGGGTTTGCCAAGTCTGTAGTGTTACCTGTGACTTTGGGATGTTTTTGAGGGGCTCCTAGAGCCCTTTTTGGTCTGTGAGCTGTCTCAGAGCAAAGAGCTTAATTCTGTCATGGGTTTAGGTGTATTAAATAAATTTGAATTGTTTTCAGTTCTGTTCTGGCACAAAGTGTCCATTTCCAACACTATCTCCTAAATGTTCTTAGTCAGACAAGCAGTTTGTGTATTAACTTAGTTTTTGGAGGGAAAATTCTGTCCTTGGAGTTTCCTTTGCCATTCCTAATGTATTTATGTTTTAATTTCAACCAGGAAGACAACTGAAGGTTTTGAATACCTTTATGCTCCCCTTTATACATTTATTTATCCCCTGAAGGAGAATGCCAATAACCTTGCAGTTCAGGTGTAATTAACTGCTTGCTTTTTGCACGTCCATCTGCTGTTTCCTCTGGGCCTGCCCACACCCTGTCGTATCGTGGCTATGGGTGACAAACAAAACGTAACAGAGGCTGAGATAACGTAACACTGCTATTTTCAGAGGGTTGTTCAGGACGACTGTCTTCTTGATTCACTTCACGCCAGTGGGAAATAATCATCTCCTTTTGGTTTGGACTTAATTTTGAGCATCTTGAGACATTTACCAATCTGGTTAATACTGAAGAGCACTGTCAGATGTTTGCTCCCGTTATTTAGGCTAGAAGATAACAGCTACGCTAAATTTATTCCAAGATACATTGAGTAGCTTGGCTGATAACGATCAAAATTTTCCAAAGTATGTTCAGTAATACAGCATTTTATTAAATTTCCTTTATAGGCAGAAATTGAAAAGAGAATAAGGCAGCGCCTAGACTTAAGGCAAACATATGAAGAGCAACTTGCTTTGAAGAAGGTGGTACGACAAGCTATGCAAGAGGAGGAAGAAGCCTTCAGACAACAGATGTTGGCCAAGTTTGCAGAGGATGACCGCGTGGAACAGATGAACGCTCAGAAGCGAAGAATGAAACAGCTTGAGTACAGACGGGCTGTGGATAAACTCCTTGAAGACCGTCGCAAACAGTTTATTGCAGATAAAGTAAGAGTTTTTGCATTCGCCTTTGGTTTGAGCCAAAGTGTTTTGATGTGAGAATGCTTCTGCTACCCTGCGTGACGAGGCTATGGCTACTAGGGAAAGGTGACAGGGGCACGGCAGAGAAACGTGCAGTGGGGACACAGGCCTTTGTTTTGGTTTGCTGACAGAAAAAAGGTCTTTTTAAAGCTGACCTTTTTTGTAGCTGAAGAGGTTAGCGTCAGCAACATGCCTAGACCCCTGTATACCCAGCAAGCTCTGCAGGTATCTCCTCAGGAGCCAGGGGTTCTGTGACACGGCTGTTGGCCAGTGCAGCATCGCTGATCAGCAGCGCTGATGATGATGTGAGAGAAGGGCAAGTCCTAGCCTTGGTTTCAGATCAAGTCTCTCAAATTATCATCTGAGGAAGAAAAGGCATAAACTGAAAACAGGTCCTGGAATCTTATACTGTAGCTTTCAGACCTGTTTATAGAGTAAAAACCACATGTGTGATGTGAATTGCAATTTGTAGTCATCAGCATGAGAATACGTGCCGATTTCTGCTTTTCCTGGATTAGAACGGTAGGGCAGGAACAGACTACCTTGACTGGGAGCCATCAAGGAACCAGAGCTTGGCACGTAACTACCTTTAAAAGGGCTTCTAGGATGAGACCAAACACTTACGTAGCAGGATAGCCTCGCGTCTTGCCAGTCAGTATTCTGTGAGATTTTTTTCTAGTTACCAAACATGTATTGTTTAAGCAGTGCGTTGTGGTTTTTTATTATGCACTTTTCCATCCTTTTCAAATGAATTTCCTGTGACCAGGAGTTGGTAAGTGGAAGTTCAAGATTTACTCCACTAAAAAATGTTCTCTTCATTTGTTTCCACCAATACCCACCATAGTATGTTCGCAGAGCTGCGAGGGGACCTAATATATACTTACAAATACCTGAAGGGTGGGTGTTAGGAGGATGGGGCCAAGCTCCTTTCAGTGGTGCCCAGTGACAGGACAAGGGGCAATGGGCACAAACTGAGAGTTTGTGGGTTCCCCTCTGAAGATATTCAAGACCCGCCTGGACAAGGTCCTGTGCAGCCTGCTGTAGGTGACCCGGCTTTGGCAGGGGGGTTGGCCTAGATGACCCACAGAGGTCCCTTCCAACCCCTACTATTCTGTGATTCTGTGAAAACTTGCTTGTTTATTGTAGGAGCGTGAACTTGAAGAAAGATGGTTAGAGGAGAGAAGAGAAGAGAGCATCCGTGCCATTGTTGAAGAAGAGAGACAGAAACTCCTGAAAGAGCATGCGTCGAGATTATTGGGTTATCTTCCCCGAGTAAGTGAATTGTATTTTAAATGCTTTAAATGTTTGTCCTGTAAACCAGTTTGCTCTTGGGTGGTCGAAGTTGTAGGACTGTGTGAATTCCTGCAGTCATTGCATGTCCTTATGGTGTCAGCTCCCCTGTGCTCACCTTTTCCTTTTTTCGAGTTGGGAAGCAATATTCTTTCTGTATCAGGGTCTTTGGGCTCCACTGTGGCATTGGTGCCATGTACAGAACTTGCTGAAAGCTTCCACAGCGCTTTGCACATCCAGTTTTTGGAATATAGAATGTTCTAAAGCAGGGTTTTTCTAGCCTGAAAGGGGTCCACCAGATTTCTCAGTTGGGGTTTTGGGAGCAATTTCTTAGTGTTGGCTGTCTTCTGTTACCAGGGAAACAAGGGCTCGTCTCTGTTGTGGTGCAATAAACCGCAGGGCTTACAGAAGCCTTTCAAAGTGCGCCTCGTTCATCTTTGTGTTTTCAGAAGTTAAAAAGATGGAAGCAATTATTGCAAAAGGAATAAACTACGATTTATTTTGTGTTATACTTCGTCATCAGAAAGATCACCTGATGGTGCACAAATGAACAGAGAGCTGCTTCAGGGGTGTAAAAACGCATTTACAGTAGGGAGGGAATTACCCAGCTATTTAAAGAATTTCTTTATTTGGCAATACTGGAAAACATTGTAAATATCGTGGAGTATAATTTTTATTCAAATATTAATATGCTAATTTGGTGCATGAGTTTGTAAAATTTAGAGTGAGTTACTTTCTAATGTAGATTTAATTAAAGGATAACTCAAATTGGTGATATTTTGAGAGAGTTTTCTGGTTTGAATTTAGAGTTGTATGAAGTCTTGGCTATTTCAGCATGCCCAAGGCTCACACCTGAGCCATGGTATTGATGTCCTGCTTTGTTCTTTTCTCTGCTTCAACACCGTGTCTGAATCGTGTGGTCATGCGTCGTGTTACTTCACTCAAAATGGTGAACTACCTAATTCTGAAGTCTCCAATATAAATGTAATTTGTAGGGTTTTTTTTCTAAATGCCGCAAGGTGTGTTCTGTGGCCCATACACATTTTTAGCCCTAAAATCAATTTAGAATTAGAGATTGAGATTTGAGTTCCCCTGCTTCCCTCCCCAAAACAGAGTTTCTGATTAAGTTGTTCAGTATCAGCTGATTTCCCAAACAGTTTCTTTGTACTGGCTCATTTCACAACGAAAGATGGGGACAGAGCCCCCCAGCCAGTGCCTCTTTGCAATGCAGCTGCTTGATTGTACTAAACCTGCATCCGCGCTGTGCTGACTGCAATCACTTTTACTGAGAAGAGAATGCGGGTGAATGTTGCCTTTTGCACAGTGCTGAAGTAGGAATCTTTACGGGGTTCTCATCGTGGCTTGCGTGAAGAACAAAAGAGCGATTCTAGGCTAGCAGCAAGTGCGCCAACTTGAAACTCACCTATTGACATTTTGTGACGGTTTTCAGGGCTGTTTGTTGGAAAGGTGACACCGGTACTGTGGATACCAGCTATCACATCCACAGAAAACTTCGGAGATCCATAATAATCTCCCTACTTTGTTTTACCTTTCAATGCATGTTTCTTTCCCCTTATTGCAGGGAGTACTCAAAGGCGAAGATGACATTAAGATGCTCGGAGAGGAGTTTAGATTGGCTTATCAGAAGAGAGAAGGTAACGCATTTTCTGGAGAGAGCTGAAATTTCCCCCGTCTCATCTCCTGGTTGGCCACCAGGTGTCATCTGGTTTCTAATGCAAATACTCACTTGCTGTTAGCAGTGAGCAACTCCTTTTTAATATCATTAAAAGTCTCCATTTTAAGACTGGAGGTCTCGACTGATGAGCAGCTGGTTTTATTTAAGTGTATGTTGTACTTGCATTTTTCATCAATAAACTGTTGCAGATCTCTCAATTCTCAGTCAGTGACACAGCAATGTTAAAAACGCTTTCTCCAGCAACTCTGCAGAAACCTAAGCTAGCGTAAATTCATGTGTGTTTCAGTAGGGACTAGAAGATTCTCTTAACGCACTATTTCTGATTTTATTTTAAAGATTTATCTGCACTGGCATTACACTACTAAAATACTGATCTAAATGCAGTTTGTCTCCTCTCGGAGGGGTCCGTCCGAGTTACTTGTTTCGCTGTTAGTACATGTTACTTTGCTGGTCAGATCTAAGCACAGACATTTTCCCATTTTGCAGTCAGAATCACCATTATACCTTTCTTTCAGTGTATAAACTTACTATTTATGGGCTGTGCTCCTATTCAATTACTCCAAGGGAGGAATCCCTTGAAACAGCTGAGGTTTGACAGAGGTTCACACTAGCCACATCGGCTTTTATTGCTCCTGTTCGTTAACGTACACATGGTACGCTGAGCTCATCTACACTCAAACTTTTATCTAGTTCTTGACTTTAATGATGACATAATGAAATCTTTATGGATGCAGTGCTTGTAGAGCACCTGTGGGTATGGAGCCATCCCTCCTGACTGTATCCCAAAGCAGCAGCTGCTGGCCACGGAAGCGTTCAGTATTTTCACTGTGACCAAAGTACCAATTTTACACACTAGAACTACACCAGACTGTGGAGTCTGTCTGGGTAATGAGGGGCTCGTCTCATGTATGTTTTTGCCAGTCGGGCTGTAAGATGTAACAGCTAAAACACGTTATGATCATTTCTATAAAAGAGCCATTGGTGCTTAAATGAGATGCCAGGACAACTAGCTTTGAGGGGAGATCTGTTGCAGAGAACAGCCAAGGTCAATTGTGTTTTAAAAAGGACGTGTCATTTTCTGCTCAGCTGGATCACTGGTTAATTTATTTCTGTTGCAACAAGGAGCTTTCTGAGACTGAACCCTGCCTTCTTTGGACGGAAATTACCTTAGATAAGGTATAGTTTTAAGTGCTAAAACAAACTGCTAACGAAGTTCACTTGTTGGAATATTCCTTGCACAGTCTGTGCGTCTGCCCTCACTACAGAATGGAGGGTTTGGCCTGGAACTTCAGCAGAAAGGTGTATTGCATATGATGCCACAACACAAGCTAGCAGGCTTATACAAGTGAAACAATCAGACATAAGCAAAACCAGCAAAATCAAGTCACTGGAACATACAGTTAATAACTACTATTATTAACAAGCATTCATATACAGTGCCAGAATAATGTACCATCTGACTTGTATTTCGAACAGGAGTTGTTTTTTTATGGAATCAATAATTTCCCCACTCGAGAGCCTTCATGAATTCCTCTTCAGTAAAAGAAAGCATCTTAGCAGCATAAATGTGCATCTAAAAAAAAAAAAGTCAGGAGCAGAGATTAAAGTAGTGCGAAGGACCAGTACAAAATCCTGTGTAAGTGGGACAGCTGACAGGGGCTTCAGATCTACCACTCTGTTTTTATTGTACTATAGTCTTGATGGATGGTCACCTGTTCAAGCTGAAGCATTCAGAAGAAAATTCACATTTTCTGCAAAAATTTATAGTGTAGGGATAACGTGATAAATTTTTTGCTAAACATTGCAACTTCAGCTCTAGTAAAACAGGACCAATCGCTTTTCTTAGTTCCTTATATTGTTTTAAAAATGTCTCCGTTTTAATGAGGCATGGAAATCACTGCAAACCTGACAGCTCCTGTGACTCTGAAGAACACGTCTAAGCAAGCTGGTATGCGTGCTTTCAAGCTGATCAATATCCAGCTTCACTTTAAAGGTACTACAACAGCATCCATAAGATTCAGCATGCTAGCGCTTCTAATGTGTGTGATGTAATGTTAAATGAAGATTTTCACAAAATAATATGACACCATTAAAAATTAACAATCAGCATAAAACAAAGAATAACTGTACTACGCTTTAACGAGAAATGCCTGGAGCTGACCACTGGTAGCTGTGTTGCCGCGTACCACACCAGACATCTGTGGCCCCTTACAGCACATACACACACCCCCTCCCCACGTGTAGCTACGTGTGTTTAAAAATCATACAGTAGTCTGAATTTGTACTTCCACTACACAGGATATATAGCACGTTACTTTAAATAGAACACTGGAAGGAACAAACAAATATTTAACTTATAACGAGTCTATTTTCTGTTCAAATAATGCAATCGCTTGGGAAAAGGTCATCAAGATCATCGATGTTTGATGAGAAAACCTGTACTGAATGGTCAGTGTGTTTGCACAGAACTGCCACTCAAAAAGGCGCAGCAGCCGGAAAGCCCCAAAAGCTCCCTGGGTTCCAGCTGATGTCACAGCAAAGGTCCCAGCTCTGCCACACATCCTCATCGCCACACCGGGGTATAATCTCTTTACCTATCATCATTCAGCATGGTAAGGGTCCGGCTAAATCGTTCTTACTGCAAATTTTAATAAAATCAGATTTTCCCCATTCACTCAACAAAAGGCTGGTGTGAAGCTGACTGGAAGTTCTTCAGGGGATTACGTACAGTGCGCACACGTGAGCGCTAGCTGCCCTGCCCCCGCGCCTCCTGCCTGCAGTTAGGAAGGGCAGGGTTACTGCCGTTCTCTTTTCAGGTCCTCCCAGCCATAGTCTCTTCCGAAAGGACGACTAACAGCATCCTTCTTCTGTGAGTAAATACATTTTTTGTAAGAAAAGGTAAGTGGCTTTCTTGATTATCTGCAATTCTGATACAGTATTTGTAATTTTTAGAAAATATGTTTAATGAAGTTTTGTGAAGTTTATCTGAGACTGTGGTTTTGATTCACAGTCAAATAGGAATACTGCTCTTTGACACCCATTTCAGTGAATCCACGTTCCAGAGGACAATGAGCTACCTCGTGCATAGAGTATATTCTGAGTGAATGCTGCAGTTTTTTCATTCTCAAAATACACTTGAAGAGCTAGGAAGGCCTGCCAAAGGCTACGCTAGCACTGTTTCTGTGGCATCAATCTGTCAGGATCCCCTCTGCTTCCTGTTACTGCCAGAAAAACGGTCTTCCACTGGAAATGCACAAGCAGCCCCAGTTCCTCTTACTCCAGTTACCAGTCCTCCTTTGTCCTGTACTGGAGAGGTATTCCACATTGAAGGGTGTGTTTCCATACTGCAATTCCCAACTCCTAGGATAAGTATGTATATTTTGTTACATCGAGTTGCCACTTCATGCAGAACTGTTCTTCCTCTATCAGGGCTCAACAGCTTCAAGAGCGTTTACAAAATGTCTGGTGATCACTGCACCACTCGGAGGGTAAATCAAATGTTCTATTTCCTTATCTCAAAGGCTGGCCCTTCTAAGGTGCTTCTGCTCAACAAGTGACCACGCATTGCTTGCTTGAGCTCTCCTACAGCTTTGGTTTGAGAGTGCGGAAATAAGCGCATTAACTCCATCCCGCAATGAGTCACATCAGATGCAGCAGGGCAAGCCATCAGAGCTGAACCACTCTGTGATGTTCCGTCCTACCACGGCTACTGTGAAGCCCATCGCTCTGCGTGTGTCTTCTGCAGCCTCAGAAGGAAAACCGATACAAATGATAGCATGCAATCCCAGGATTTGGTAAGTGAAAGGTGTGATGGAACTGTAAGGCCTAAATGCATCAGTCAGGGGGAGATTGTTTGATTTTCGCAACATCTGTTAGTACACACTCCTCTCACTTTAATTTGCTTTCGTGTAAGCTCACAGGTTCTTTCAATTTGTACCGTCAAAGCTCACGTGCCAGCTCTATGCTGAAAACGTGTTTTGAGAAAGATAAGGTATCTACCTGTGGTGAATGACTTCACGGACCCCAATCTTGTACTCGATCAGAATCCTTTTATTGCTCAAGTGAATACCTTATATACTAATACAATAGTTACTAGAGCAAATCAGCTTTGGATTTGTGGCTTTGCGAATGCCAGTTCACAGTTGCTGTCTTCCAGGATCTTTTGCAGCTGGATGTGTGAAAACAGCTTATCTCCTGAGAACAGAGAAGGGAGGCGCAGGACGCGCTGATCTTTCAGGGTCATGAGACAGTGCTGTTCTGTCTCAAATTATACGGTTTCCCACATCTACCCACCACAGTGTCCAACATTTCTGTTTCCAAGTCTCTCCTTTTTGGGACATCAATATAGCTCTATCAAATACAATAGTTAAGTACATTTTTGGCTATATTCTAGCTGAAGTATTAATCCACTTTTCGCTGCAACACCTTCCTATGAAAGCTGTATCACTAATTGTTCAGCATGAATTGTCAGCAAGTATTTACTGCCTACCGTCTATGCAATTTCAGCTTCAGCTGCTAAAGCGCCTGGAGGGCAGCAGCCCCTGCCCTCCTGGGTGTGCCCTCCGGGAGACGAATGGAGGGAGATCCCAAACGGATGCACACGCAAATGGCTTTCAGCGTAAGGCTAGCTGCAAGGGCAGCCTGGATGAGAACAGCTGTGCTTCGTTGTGTATGATTCAAAGCACGCGTGATATTCCAGGAATTAGAACAGGATGGAGATAACTCCCCTCCTGCAATCCAGTGAATTCACACCTAGGACAAGTACTTTTTGCCTGACACACAAGGAGAGCTGCATCTGGGCAGAAACGTGCATGTGTAAAACACCTCAGGATATAAATAAAAAGAAACGATGTTAGTAGAGAAGGACACGCTCTGAGAACCCAGGAAGAATGCAGGTCTCAACTGTAGGGGCTCGCTCCTGAGAGGGCACGCTGTTATCGCTGCTGATACCACAAGTGAAACACTGGGGGGAAAAGCTAAAATAAAAGATTTCCCATGCTAAAATGGGTTCTACTGACACAGCACCCAAGGGAGCTGCTGTTGTTACCGGAACAGTATTTGTTCTTGAACAAACAGATACTCTCAGTCCTAAAGCTTGTCAGTAGTAATCCTTCACCATGACAGAGTGTGCTCCAAGTTCAGAATGGAGTCAATTCAAAAGATCAGCCTTTGCTATAAAGCAAAACCTTAGCAGTACACACTAGTAAAAGTGAGGCTGCGGCTCCCTTGCACCGGGACATCCTGCTCCTGCGGCTCTAGTTACATGATCACCTTACGTTCACCTTACGTGACAACAGACACGTTTAGCTAGAGGTGCTTAACTGAAATGCCACAGTGCTCTGGTCCTTACCTTTTGTCGCTTTAAAATATCAATTAACTTCAACTGCTTTTTAAAACCTATCATTAGCTCTCCTTTTTGTTTCTGCAATTTCTTGTTCTCTGTTTTCAGTTCTTCAATTGTTTTGAGTTCTTGGCTGGCTGCATCCTACCATGGGAAGAAAAAGAGAACTGTATTATTTGTGAAAGCCATACTTTAACCAATGGCATTACATAACAAAATGACAAACAGTAGCTACATGTGATGTTTCTGAAAAGAAACATTCCCACATCAAAACTTAGAAAAGAAAAACTCAGCCACAGTTTGCCTGTGTACGTATTAGGTGTGAATGTGTACGTTTCCCTTTTTCTAAACACAAATGGGGAAAATCTCAAAGGCTGTAACTTCATTCTGTATATCTGTTCCTCCTGCACAGTTCGCAGTAGTGTCATCCGAGATAACTTAAGTCCTTTGGTGACCTGCTCTAAATTAATTTGGGGACTGTCTGTAAGATTCACACCACTTCCAAAGCTGATCAAGCCTTTTGTCTCATTCTAGCATTACTGAGTGATTACCGGTTGGAACTTGTTTTGCTAAGCCACCGTACCTTGTTACTTTGCTTCAGTTTGTTCAGCTCCACTTTATACTTTTCTGCTTCTTCCAGGGCCCTGTTTAAGCGAACCTCTGTTGCACTCTGACTGGCTGTGGCCTGCTTTTGTACATGCTTTAGATTCTCCAATTCCTATTTAAGAAGCAAAGGATAAAAACGAACATTATGAATAATGGTATTTTAATGACTCCCATATAGACAACATATTTACAGCAAGGCTTACCCTTGAAAACTTGAGTCTGTGGACTTCTTTGGCCTGCAGATAGAATCTGTCTCAAAGAGCATCAATTCCACCATTAAAACACGCCCTTCTCATTTGAAATCTTGAAAAGGGATCTTCCTCATCTTTGTTTTAAACTTCTCTTAGCGTAATTCTGGGGCTGATCATGTAAGACCACAGGATTGACTGAAACACCTTCTTCTCAGTCAGAAAAACGAGAAAAAAATGTCCACTCTGTGGCAGATGTTGGAATGGCAGGTAGTATTCGCAGCTGCTCCTGCCCACCAGTTCCTTCTACCTCTTTTCCCCAGAGACTACCACATGTAATTACCAACAAAAAGTTAACAAAAAGTTAAAACAGGCTACTGAAGATGGCTGAGGGCTGTAACTGTCTCATCTAGCAGAAAACAGTTCATCAAGTGTTTATGGCAACCATTAAAACGGTTCCCTCTTACCTCTGATGATAGTATTTCATAGTGCTGTAAGTGGGACAGGAGAAAAAGAGACAGAATAATGAGATTCAAGATCAGGGAATACAGACAGAAGACAAAGTAGAAGAAATAAACTTTTCCGTCAGAAAGAGCACATCTTGCCGTATGTGAAAAAGAACTACACTGTTTTTTTAAAAGATAATCATATTTTTAGTAATGGGCATAGAAAGATTCTTTTAACCAAGTCGGGGTAGAGGCTTGTCATTAACCTTTTACCCTCAGACTGCCTTATTTCTGAGTAATTGTTCTATTTATTTCCTCAATTCCACACCAGCTTTTGTGGTGGTCACTTCTCCAAGAAATACCTACTAATTGACAAGTGTATGCAGCAAAGACGTTATGGCAAAGGGTATTTCTGGGAAGCTTTGAATCTTCTCCAAAATGGATGAAGAACACAGGAGAGTAAGATGCATCTCACTAATCCTCTGAAATTCTGTGGGTGAATGTGTCTCTTCCAAAAATTCACAAAAACAAATGTTGCTTCAACATTTTTATTTTGTTGCTAACCTGTCCATCTGATTGATGAAAAGGCGAGGGGTAAAAGCCTGGCTGGTGGGGCAGCAGAGGCCCTCCCTGGCACACGCGCACGTGCATCGTCAGGGAACGCAAACTCGTTTGCTGGAAACTGACCCCTGTGTTTCCACGGAGAACGAGCTGCACAGCATGCAAACCTCTTCGTCTCGTATCGAGGGAGCTGTGAATAGGGTCAACTAAATATTTTGTGGTATGTATTTCATTTTGCATTAATATGAAAAGCTTTGGCATATAGCCTTTCAAGCATTAAATGACAAAAAAAATACTCTGCATGCAATGCAAATTATGTATCAGCGAATCATATAATTTCGTGAAAGAATTCTAATAATTCTTTTAGGGCTTTCTGACATTTACTGTCATCCATAGTACCTTATCAAGGATTTTTTTGCAAGTCATCCTGTGAAGGTATCTTGTTAAATATATTAGACTCCAAGTTTTTATTCTTAAAAATGTCTAAGTATTTTATTTTGTAAGTAGGCAAGGTTTCTGCCAGTCTTCAATATTTTAAGTAAAAGCTGGATTAATTTTCTCATATAATGTTTCTTTAAGAGGGGGAAAAAACAACTGTGTTGTAAAACTGCATCCCATTTCAATCTCTGGATTTTCTCCACTGTTCTGCAATGGCTGAGGCACTTGAGTATCAGTAGTGGGGCTGATACCAGAGAGCTCGTCCTCCCAGTAGCAAGCATACACAGCACTTCCATCTTTAGAAAGCTCAGCAACACCTGTTCACCCCCAAAAACATTCAAGAGATAACGTTTGCTTAACATCAAGCCCTTCTTCAAGGGAAATTATACAATCCCTGCACAAATCCTTAAGAGGAATTAGAGCACAACTTTGGTGTTTCCTTGACCTTTATCCAACATTACAGCTAGATTGAATTAACAAGTGAGAGAGAACCCAGAGGAAGGAATGTTCTTGTAGACAGGTGGTGAAAAAAGACAGGAGTGGTGATATCATTTATTGGCTCAACTAAATGGAAAAAAAGAGGAATGCTGGAAAGAAGAGGATGGAAATTTTGGGGAGCATCAGAATTCAGCTGCCACCTGAGGTGGGTTTTCCATCAGAAATGCTCACAGAGACCAAACACCAAAACAATGAAATGTAAAAATAACAAACTAATTACTATGTTTCAGGTAAATTGTGAACACTAGGTAAGAATCTTTGCCTAGGCACGAACAAAAAAGTATCTGGGGGATTAGTGACATTGCATAAATTGATGAAAATCTAAGGAAGCTTGGGAAAGCATGTATCGTGACTTAAGTCTTCTATCATGTATATTGCAACAGAAATCACAACAGCAGCAATAAAAACCCAAAAATCAGAGGTCACATTTGTGCTCTCTCAACTATACAGAAACCTTTCTCTAGACTGAAAATATGAGTCTTGAGAGGTTAGCGGCACAGCAGCACAAATTCATGCCTGTGTTCACAGGACTTTTCTTTTAAACATATGTCTAGAATTAATCTACATTAATTACATAGTGTTGACTAATACTTCATACCTAAAGAGAAAACCAGTTTTTAGATTGCTAAGTCCATGAGAGATTTAAGCAATTACTGCAAAATGGTTTTTAAATGCATGGTTTTGGCAGTTAGATCATTTTTTACATCAGAAGAAATACGTACAATAACTTCTGAATTAGCAGAGAACAATTCATTACATATACCTGCCTTTTTGGCCTTCTCATTATTTTAAAGAACTACCACAATTTGTCATGATCATGTCTGATCAGTAACCTTGTTAAATTCTAGAAAACACAATCTGTTAGGAATAATTGAAAGAACTGAGAATGGCAGGTCCACAGCAAAGACAAGTGAGGAAAGCGCCCATATTTTGGATATGGTAGCTGTACAGCAGAAGTGAATAAACTTTTCATCACACCAGACATCTCCTAAACACTGGGATAAACTTTCTGTGACTGTGTACAAGACCAGCACAGACTGTCTAAGGAAATTATGGAAATTGCCATCACAGAAAGCTCTAAGTACAGGTTAAACAAACTTATGTCCAGGATGGTTTGCATATAATCTATCCTGTCCTGGTTTAAGAGAATGGGCTAAATGACTTTTTAAGTCTTTTAGCCCTATTTGCTGTGAGCCGATGAGTAGTATGAGTACTACTATTGAACATTTTTCCTGACAGAATCAACAACCCGGGTACTTATTTGACGGAACTTAAAACCTCCAAGCATCTGCACAAAAGGAGCACACAAACTGAGAACATTTTGCTTTTAAAATGCCAGAACTACTAACATTAAGATGAAAGCATGCCTATATGCCTATGGAACTACAAATGAGACTTGGTTAGGCTGAGTTGTGTTGTTTTCCTCAAATTTTGAAGTGAAACATTCTCCTGGTTATATTACATGTACTACACAATACTATATGTATTACATGATTTTGAAGTCAACCCCTCTAGCTCTGAGTAATTAAAGAAAAACACATGCTGCTCTTAGATTAAGTTCCAAACAAAGCAAGCTGTGTATGGAGGCCATCTGCTACAACTAGGCACATATATAGTTTTGCATATGTGGCCTACAGCAGGAGCCAGGTTAATTTTGATTCATCCAAATTGGAGCGGCTGGTTTTCAAACAGTCCATTTTCAAGAACAAAGACGCATCCTTTCCTCTACCTGCAGAAGATACTAATATAAGCTGCAGGTGGTTTTCTCCAAATGTTACAACAAAACACTTATTACCAGAAGTGTTTTTTAACAATCATAATTAAAACCAGAAAAATAAAATTTCTCCATATTTTTCAAATTTCCTTTGTGAATTTGACAGCAGTTTCTGAAAAGGTTGTTTTGTCTCTTGCGGGTCTTTTACACAAGAGTTTAATTTTAAAATACAGAAATATATGATTGTAGAAGCAGAAGAAAAGCAATTAGCAAAATACATTATTTCTTCCTTTAAAAAAAGTGATCAGACCATTTAAAAATACAGTTTCTAAAACTACTGTCAGAGATTTGAAACACTAATGGGAGCATTGGATATGAATCTATCAAACTAGGCTACAGAGGGTGATTTGATGTGTCGGGCTCTTTTCCCTTTCATGAGATAAGTGAGACTAATATCTGCAGTACCTTTTGTAGCGCAATGACCTCTTGTTGTAACCCTTCACTTTTTTTGTTTGCTTCTTGTGATAATATTTTGTACTTTTCATTCTGAGAGTGTTGCATACTGATAGTTCGTTGCAGTCTGGTGTTTTCTTCTTCAGTATCTCTAAGCCGAGATTTTAAATTCTGATTTTCATCATCCTGTTTGACAGTAATTAGCAAAAAACAACAACTAAATTATTGCAGGGAAGCAGCAGGATAATGCAGTAGTAATGTTTTGTAAATAAAAGGCAGTGAAAGTATACATATTGTAGATATGGAGATAACAATTTCTAAAAATTATATTATTTTTAAATTTTTACTTCCTACATGATGGATTTCACAACAATTTTAAGAAAGGAAACAACTAAGACAAACCAAGAAAACAAAACACCAATTTACCAGGACAATACTTCAAAAAACAGTAATGCTTTTCTCAATTAATTTTCTGCAGTCTTTTACTTGGAACTGTCTTGTAGCAGTACATAAAACATTTAATTTCTCATAGTTTAAAGGTTTTAAGAACCAACTATCAAAATATTATAGAATAATATGAATAACAGTGGCACACAGATATTTTGTGACATTTTGGTGAGAATAGCTAAATGCACAGATTGGGAAAAATTCCAGGAAAAAGGAGAGAATGTAATTACTGGTAAATCAATCCATTATGTTTTAGTAGATTAGCTGGTTTTGACTTAAAAGCAAGCTAATGATCCAGGATACATCAAGTATTCAAATTCAAGATTCTCTTAACATCAAGTGAATCCTATATTAGCTTCATGACCTACTGGCAATTACATCTCACATTAAGCATCGTAATTTCAAGGCATTTCTCTTTTATAACCTTTTAAGCATTATAAGTGAATACTAATGTAGGTTATTTCAGAGATACATTATGCCTTTTATTTCTTTAAGTGAAAGAAATCAAGGCACATAGAGGAATGGAGTTTCTATGAAAACAAGTCTTTCTCTCCTGTTCGTTCAGCCACTAGGAATGTATGCTTCTCACCTGGGAAATGTGCTTCACCCTAGGTTTCATGTGACCACACGCACCTCAGAAACTCCCATTTCTTTATGTTTAAAACAGATTTACTGCTTCCTTCTAATAATTGGACTGCGAATTAGAACAAAACCCAGAATCTATCTCAAGGCTTTGCTAATATGAAATTTTTGTGACCTTCTGAATGTAATAAAGTTATTTTCACACCAGAGAAACTGGTACCCAAAATTATACATTTATATACAGAGTGCTATGGGAGCAGGACAAGAATAGGTACAAGGTTGTCTTGCATCATCTGCTATAGTAACTGAATTCTGTAGTATTTTTGGCATGGAATGATGAAGTTCAATAGCTACTCACAAAATGGTATTTGATTTGAAAATGAAAATGTGTTTAAAATCTAATGTAACAGCTTTCTTCTGATCATGGCATAAAAGTATTGAAAGGCAGAAGAAACTGTATTGACAAAAATGAAATAAAGTCTAAAATACAGATATAAAATATCAAAATCTAATTCCTTCTAACGATTTTATCCAGGTGCCTATCTCAAAAAACTTACGTAATCTCACCCTGCTCCTTAACTCTAAATTAAAAGCTTGAGAGAAAACATATAGGTGGTTTGCCATATGTTCTGAATGTCATCATCACATTTGGGCCTCGGGAATAGGTTGAAAAAGGCATTCTGAAGTTAAAAGACCACAACTAAGAATAATCTAATTGTGCAAAACGGAAAGTTAGTTCAAAAGCCTTGCTTGATTAGAAATGCATGAAAATGAGGTGATCCCTCTGGCAGACAGACACAAATATTTAATGTTTTATAGTTCAAGAGATGTTTGAACATCACCTGAAAACACATTGCCAGACAGTGCAGCTCATAAAACTCACTTGTAATACAGGCTAACAGTAAAACATCAGTGCAGCTTCACACTGCCTTCACTTCAGTCTGATCTGCCCAAATATGTAATTCCAAATACAGTCCTTCACAGCAAGTGTCATCTTAAGAATGGAGAAAGCTTCATTTCTGTTTTGATTACAATACTCTACTTAAAGTGGATCACAGATCAGCGGTTTCTATACTACACTTTTTTCCACCAACGACACCCAAAGCAACTGACTAAACTTCTCAAGCTTTTTTATTTCTCATTTTGCTTTAAACATCCCTCTCTTCCCATCGCCCAGCTCTGGACACCACTGTACTGGACTGCTACCGTATCCTCCTCCTCCTCCTTCTCAGTGATAACTGTAAATGTAACAAATGTAACATGTAGGGGATGTTATCACTTCAGGTTGTCAGAAACAAGTCTTGGTTCTTTGTGAATATTAGGACGGTTGCAAGACAAGGGACTCCTGAATAATCCCTTTAGGCGCCTGGGCCTTGGGAGAACAGGTATGCAAACTACAGAGATAAGGAGGCTGCAGGATAATCTGAAGACCCCTGCCGAGAGACGCCAAACAAACATGTGCGA